ATCTCAGCTCATTGCAACCTCTGCCTCCAGGTTCAAGCGATTCTCCTGCCTCAGCCTCCTGAGTAGCTGGGATTATAGGTGCATGCCACCACGCCCAGCTATTTCTAGTAGAGATGGGGTTTCACCATGTTGGCCAGGCTGGTCTCGAACTCCTAACCTCATGATCCGCCCACCTCAGCCTCCCAAAGAGCTGGGTCACATGCGTAAGCCACTGCGCCTGGCCTTATTTTATTTTTTTTAAAGCTATCTCCTACAGGAAGGAACGCATAATTTTTTATTTTTACTTTTTTTTTTTTTTTTGAGACTCTCGTTCGGTCGCCCAGGCTAGAGTGCAGTGGCGCTCTTGGCTCACTGCAACCTCCGCCTCCTGGGTTCAAGCGATTCTCCTGCCTCAGCCTCCCGAGTAGCTGGGATTACAGGCGCCTGCCACCACGTCTGGCTAATTTTTGTACTTTTAGCAGAGATGGGGTTTCACCACGTTGGCCAGTCTGGTCTCGAACTCCTGAGTTCAAGTGATCCGCCCGCCTTGGCCTCCCAAAGTGCTGAGATTACAGGCTTGTGCCACCTCGCCCGGCTGGAAAGCATAATTTTCAAAATGGTTATAACAGAAATTAGATTGGAAAGGGGCTTGTAGTAGAAACATGACCTCCGGGTAGACCAGGAAGAAAAATTAGATTCAGAAATGTCAGGGCTACTCTTTCAGCTTTACTCTTCTCCAACTGGGTTGTCGGTGCTAGTCCACAAATGTGAATAAACATTAAAGCAGATAGGTATGCATGGCGGAATCTGAGAAGCATTCGTTTCGTATATACAAAGTGCCTGTTGCGTGTTCAGGTAGAAGACCATAGTGCAATGGTGGAGACAGATTATGTCGACAAATTATTCAAATATAGTGTACCAAATATGCAATGTAATTAGGAAAAAACCCGAGGGCAAAAAGAAAGGCGTGACAATGCTTTGGGGAATTTGGAAAGGTTTTATTGGTATGACATTTAAGTTGGGCCTTGAAGGATAGGGAGATGTTTGTCAGTTATGTTTAGAAACGTAACCAGAGGAAGCCCAGAAGCCTAGAGCGTTAAGGAACTGCGCAGCAACTCAGGCTGGATTGAGTACTGGGCTGATGTGTCAGGTGCAATAACAGAATGAGAGGCAAGGAAAGCAGGTCGGGGGCTGGAGAGAACAGGATCTGCAAGGTTCTTGTAAATCAGAAGGCAATATGGCACAGAGGTTAGGAGAAACGCTTCCTTCTAAGTTGCGCTCCATCACTTGCTAGCAGTATGATCTACGCTGGCATGGGCTTGGGCGTACCCATTTGCAACATGGGAAAATAGTCTTTTCCTTATACGGCTTAAATGACTGAATGGGTATCAGTCAGTTAGGGCAGCGTGCAGCTCTTATTAAGCGCTAAATGAGAATGTATTATCATCACGAAGCCAAATCACGCAAAAGCTCGGTTTCTAGGAGGGTCCCCCAGCCTCCTCCCCACTGCTACCGTTAGGGAAGAAAAGTTCTCTCGGTTCGGGCCGCGCCCACTCCCCACTCCTCAGCCCTCCTAGGCCTCCGACTTTCTTCAGCGAGCAGGGCCGGCCCAGGGAGGGGGTAGATGGGCCTGGTGGGCAGCGGAGACGCAGCCGCTTACCAGGGCTGGGGTCCCGCTCTTCGTCCTCCGCTGTTCCGCGGGCCTTGAAGCCGGGCGGCAGGGCCGGTCCGATTAGGTCTCTTGCCATCCGCGGTGGCTGACACTGGTCACAGATACGAGTCTATCCACCAACGTCAAAACTACCCAAATGGAATCCCGCGATCAGCAGCGAAGAATGGAAGGTTTCCCGACGCCGACCAATGACGTAAGGCCTGTGGTTGGCTGAGCGCCGTAGTTCACCGTAAAGGAAGTGACGCCTAATGCTTGCTCCACAGTCGCGTGCTAGACTCCGGACCCGGCAGGTGGTATGGCTGAGCCGGCTAGTGATTTCGTGACTCCTACCGGGTGGCGTGCGTCTCCCGAGCTGACTCCCACGTTAGGGCCGCTGAGCGACACTGCCCCGCCACGGGACAGCTGGGTGTTCTGGGCAATGCTGCCGCCGCCGCCACCACCGCTTACGTCCTCGCTTCCCGCAGCCGGGTCAAAGCCTTCCTCTGAGTCGCAGCCCCCCATGGAGGCCCAGTCTCTTCCTGGGGCGCCGCCCCCCTTCGACGCCCAGATTCTTCCCGGGGCGCAACCCCCTTTCGACGCCCAGTCCCCTCTTGATTCTCAACCTCAACCCAACGGCCAACCTTGGAATTTCCACGCTTCGACATCATGGTATTGGAGACAGTCTTCTGATAGGTTTCCTCGGCATCAGAAGTCCTTCAAC